TAATAGTGGCGATCGATGAGATGTAACGTCGTAGATGTAACGAGTATTTGTGGTATAACCTGACGTATCTTGAAGTTCCCTCTCGATCTATGATCGATCGCATCTCCTTTGGAGACGCGCTAATGGCTTCGACAAGCGTTACGGTTGTAACTCCAATATCCTACCGTCAGCGGGAACGGGGCTGCGAATTCGTCGCGTAAATTCTATTATCGTGCGGCTTATCGCGAGTATTCGTAGTACAATGGATAATATCGGCGCTTACCGTCCTCGAACGACCGTAAGCGTCGATCGGTGACGTCACTATCAGTTGTTTCCGCCTCACCAGGCACCACTCCATGCTATCCCAGCAAGATGGCGTCGGTTCACCAGCGCGATTCGCTCGCATATGCACCCGGAGATTTAGTGTGTTGCAAAAAACGGGGAGAATGGTAAAGATCTGTCTGCAAGCGGCAACGCGCCCACGCGTTGAATACGTTTAATCTTTAAACTAGGGCGCTGTTTTTTCAATAAGTGTTTAACTCCTTAATTTTGGACTCGGATATTTTCTTAACTATGTTGTAAAAAATTGTTTATAATAAATGTTTTTTGCTATACATAATTTTTGAAGCTACATAATCTTATTCCTCAGATTTTTACCTTCAAAATGAAAAGAAAAATTGTTCAATTACGTCTTAACTTTAAGCAAAGATATGTTAATGCAAACTTGAAAATTTGTTGGACCTGCGAATATTATTTAAGAAAATTTCGAAGCAAATGCCGATTTAGGTTACAAAAAATTATTTTAATAACTATTTACGTTCTATATCTATTGCAAAGTAACCTTTAATATGTAACTGTTAAAATTATTTTTGATTATTTATAGTATGAAATCACGCGTAAGAGTTAATAGACAAAAAATAGGCGAAATCGGAGAAAAATCTGAGACGTGGACGACCCTCGCTTGAATTATGATGCTTCCTCAAGAGACTGATTTCCAAGTTTACTCTGTACGAATCTTCCACAGTCTACCAACTGAATCCTATTAGGTCGCATCTGCCCGTTGGGGGATCATTAGTTCCACAGAGCTGCTAAAAGACCATTAGCTTGCGTCCATCTCCCGACGGTGCAAAGCTCGATTCGCGATCTTGCTTATCTCGGAGCGGCACGGACGCAGACCATTCAGCTCCGGGGATATTTTTGCTGTTGGCCTATCCGGGCGTTATCTTTCACGCCGGTACGTACCGATAATGGTGGCAGTCATTCGCGGATGATACGCCGAGATAGCCCGAGCGATAGGCGAGGACGGAAAATGCGGCGGCGGCGGCGGCGGCGATGGCGGCGGTCGAAATCCGGCTAATGGTTTCACTGAATCAAACCGGGCGGCTGGCGTTTAACGGGGCAAACAGACAGAAAATGGAGCGCGACCGCATATAAAGAGTCGATGATAACGAAATGATATATGGCGACCGCGCTCCCGCTCGCTCGCTCGCTCGTGCGAACGTATTTATGGGGAAGTGAGAACCAAGCCAAACCCGGACGTTGCCTTGCCCTACCCGCACTCGGGTCCAGAGGCTCTTTCGCCTCGGCTTCGACGATACACCCTCTATATAATGCAACTTCCACCCCCTCCGTGGTTGGTGGTGATTGATCGGCGTGGAGATACCCAGCGATATTCACCGCGGGATTAAGTGAATGCGCGGCCACTTAATAACCCTTATATTATATAGCCCTCTATCTCTCGAGTCGAGTAAATGCGCGCGCTTTCGTTGTGTTTGCTGCTCGGGTGTCATTAGGTGTCGAAGAATATCCGCCCCGCTATTCGTTGTGAAAGGTGAGTATGATGGTTTATGATTATTCCGAGATTAGAGAAGTCTGAGGGTCGCCTTAACCTTTTAGAGATGGGAATCTGCTTTTCTTGTAGACTTTTTATAATAAATCATTAGTAATATATATAGGAGTTACAATAGTAATCAACGACTGCGTGGAGATGGCCGAATTTTATTCTTACGATTTAAAATTTAGATTACGTTATGACTAATAGTCATAACTAATCACTGTGCCTTGTTGCTTGCTTTAAGAATTGTCATCCCTTTGATTGACTGAAATACTGTGCAATTAATGATCTAACATAAATATTATTCTGAATGCAAGTTTTTAAGATTTTTATGACTTCTAATTTTGATTTATTAGTGTGATATGTGAGTGGTGACATATATGACTTATTGTAGAAAACCCTTTAGTTTTTCTTGAATATAATGATATATATTGATTCACCGAGGAAAAGAAATTGTTCATTTGACTAAATTAATTTAGTTTGTCTTTATTTCTTTCGTTTTTGGAGAATATATGTATATTTTAAATTAAATATATAGGTATGTTTAACTTAAATACATACATTCTTCATCGAAAGAAATAAAGACGAACTTAAAATCAATTGCTAACTTTTGACAATTTTTTTTTAGTACTATACTTTTTTCATTATTTCGTAATATTTCTGAACTATGACACTGTATCGATGGCACTACAGTGGCTTTCTCATCCTGTAAAGGATAAAGCACGTCAATCCTTTCAAATAGAATGACATAAAATAGATCATGTATTTTAACCATCGTATCTCAATTAGACACTGACTCGTGAGAATCTTTAATAAGATTAATGCGACGATTGAAGCGGAAGTTACGTCGGTCCCGTGAGAGAAGGAAATTTGCGGAGAAGAATACCTAATATGTTTTCACTGTCGTACTGCTTACCGAAGCGTTGCTTAATTATCTTCCCCAAGTAATGGCAGGATAATTCAATAGCGTCGTCTGATAATTATCGATTCCATTAGCTAAATGCGCTATAAAAATCTTCCTTCTGGCAAGGTTTAATCTGCAATGAAGGTACAAAACGAACATATTAATATCAAGTTTTCTCGGTAATGGCTTATGCATGTAATAATATTGACATTAATGTGTTGGGTGAAAGTTTGCAGTTTTTAATTTATTTATTGCCAGAGGACAAAATATGAAGCGCAAATATATATGAAATATATATAATTGCATTTCTTATATCCATTTCTCCTAATTTAATTTTCTCAATTTACTTCTTTTCTAAATTAAACAAATTTTTTATTTTTTTCTTAGAACTAGAAAATGATAAGAAATAAATTAAATCGAGATTAAAATCAATCTACATTAGTAGGAATGAACATTAACGTTTTTCTATTGAATTTTTGTAAATATCTTGTGACAAAATATTCGTAAAAGTATTAAACATATAAAAGTACATTCTCTGAATTATGTTTAAAACATCATTCAAACTTCCAGTTAGCTAACCGATGATTAACTTGCAATAATAGGTAGGTTATTGTTTGAGTTTATTAATTGCTTTTATTAATAAATAAATATTTTACTTATTTAGCTGTATATATGTGTATAAAATTAATTAATTTGGTTGATATTACAAGGTGTTTTTCTAATCTAACATATATCGATAAAAAAAAAATCTTAATTTTTTTAGCTGCGTCCCGATAGATTGATAATAAAAAAATTGAAATTGGCTGATCAAGTTGTTGATCACCTTTTGAACGTAAGAAGTAGGTACGGCTTCCAGACTCCATTTACTTCGGAGCTGCGGTCTGAGCAAGTAAAGGGCTCAGAATCTTTTATTTCTCGGGAATCGGAATCGCCGCCGGCGAGCGGTAGCGGAACGGGAACGATTGCTTTAATATTCAACGTCCGTAATAGCCGGACATGAGGTTTAGGATTCGTTCAATTATTCAAATCACCGCCTCGTTAGGTCGGTCTAAATCGAGATCTCGGTTATGTCCGGAGGTTCCCGGGGAGGAAATCTAAATTTGCTCGTCGTGCATTTAAATGTTGCATCGGATACATACGAAAGCATAATTTATGTATGTATCAACGCGGTCACCGATACCTCGATGAACGCT